AATTAATAATATATATTTTATAGAATTATTAATATTTTATATATATATAAAAAAAAAAAAAAAAGATGAAACCGGAACGGCCCGTTCTAAAATCGGAACGAGCCGTTCTGGGTTCAGGTGTTTTCAAAAAAATTGTCATCCACGTGGCATTCACGAAGCATCCACGTATGCATCTACGTGGCATCCACGTGGCCAAAAGTTAACTCCGTTTAATAATTTGGACGGAAGTCACAAATTGAAATCAAATAATATATTTGGGACCAAATTGAAACCAATTAATTTACTTGGGACTAAATTGAAACCAAAAATAAAAGTGAGACTAAATTGAAATAAACAATTTAATATAAGGGACCAAAATAGGGTTTTAGCAAAAAATATACAATGTAAAACAAGGAGAATTTAATTATTATGCTTTGGCAGTATAATTTTTTTTTGTCAGTATAATTTTTAAATGAGTTTTTTCAAAACCTACAAATTCTAATATGAGATGTAAAACAAGGAGAATTTAATTATTATGCTTTGGCAGTATAATTTTTTTTTGTCAGTATAATTTTTAAATGAGTTTTTTCAAAACCTACAAATTCTAATATGAGATGTGATTCAATTATAGTATCAATTATTTTATTAAAACCCTATTCTCTTTAAAGATAATTGAGCAAAAAGAAGATATAATGAGAGAAACTTTTGATGCAGTGAGTTAAGTATTTTTTTAATTCAAATTAAAATTTTATCTTTATGATATATTTACGTAATAAAAAACAAATTGGAAGGTTAATGTGGATTATCGCGTTAAATTTTAAATGTTAATTGTTTGTCCATTTAGTAAAGTCTTGAAATGAGAGAATAAATTCGATAGTCTGAGATGTATTACGTTAAAGAAAAAAAATGGTTGGAAAGCAAATGAGTATTAATAATAATCGACTTCGGTTGATGCAAGGATTATAGACTAATTTCAAACTAATTTAAGTTAGCGGAAGTGGTGAAAGATTTAAGTTACTTAATTAAGTGATTAAAGTTAAAATGAGAATGAATTAAGTGATTAAAGTTCAAATGAGAATAACTGTTTATTTATTTGATACCAAATTTCATATAGGGGATATTCTTTGATAACTAATAAAATAATAATAATAATAATAATATGTACGACTCATTTATAACAAAAAAAAAATATTTTAAATTTTTGGATTTAAATATAAATAAATTTTAACTAATTTAACTTTATTTAATGTTACTGTTAAGAAACATTATTAAAGATTTTTTAAGAAATAAAATTTAATTTTCACATGAAATCAATAAATTTAAATGAAATTAATTAATTTCTTTAATATGTACAAATTTAAATATTTTTATTTATATACGAATTCAGATAGAGTAATAAAGTGATAATCCAATTTATATTCACATTTATCTTATCTTTAATAATTGCATACACTTAAAAAAAATCACACAAATAATCATAATGCCTTTTTTCTATTAATAATAATAAAGTTTAAATGTATATATTTTTTAAGTACCACATAGTAGTATTATTAAGAGATTGAGCCACTTATAAAACATTTAAACAAAGTTTTCAAATTATAAGAAAAAGTAATGATTTTAAATTCGAGAGAAAAAAAAAATCCTCAAGGTAAAAAAAACATATTTAAAGGTGGTAATATATAAAAAGATATTTAAACGTGGTAGTAATATTAATGATGAATAGGGAAGTAAGGTTGTTAATGTAATGAAGGGAAAGGGAAGGGTGAATCTGAATCTGATCCAACATTATCATTCAGAGAAGAGATTTGAAAATCGCATCGCATCGCACAGAGATGAATTCAATTTCAATAAGCAGATCATCCCTGTGTATCCTGCTCGCTTTCTCTTTGCACTTCATTCTTGGTTCGTTCCCTATTTCATTTCTTTATTTTCACCCACAATTCGTGCAATTTTTTTTTTATCTTTTTTTATTGTTCGCCCAAATAATTGTTCTTTCTTCTATCACATTTTCCCCCATAAGTTCAAAACTTTGCACCCTCTTAATGATTTCAATGCCTGTGTTACTGTTTCACATCCATTGCTCTGCCAAATTTAATTTGCCTGGTTTTCCTTAATAAATAGAATATATGATCCTCTTCATTTTGGGGTGCTTTGATTTCTAGGTTTTTCTGACGACTCACCAGCTTCTAAAGATGCTACAAAGGACAAACCCCATGTAGGTGGCACAAGCACCAGTACTTTGATTGTCATTGTGTTAATTGCGGTTGTGCTCTTTTCTTTGTTCTCCTTTGTACTTTTTAAGCTGTGGCGAAAGAAGAAAAGGGAAGAGCAATATGCTCGTCTTTTGAAATTGTTTGAAGAGGATGATGAGTTAGAGCTTGAGCTTGGCCTAAGGGACTGACCTTTGCCATTCAACATCTTCCAGGTTCGTATTCCATCATTATTTATACAAAATGACATTAATTTTTTAAACTTCAAATCCTTAATACTACATTCTATTTTTCCCCCATAATTATAAGAGAGCATTGGGAGAATTAAAACCTTAGATTTGTCGGTTGACACCTGTTGGGGAATCAGAATGAACCTGGAATATCTCCTTTGATGTGTAATGACCTAAGTAACTTGTTGAGTTTTGTCAACCTTTTCTCTTACACCTTACAATATACATGGCCGGGAAACCTTTTTCTTGCTGAGTAAATGCTCGCGCTGCTGCTGTTCAAATACCTTTCAACAAAGAGTTTAAACTTTAGGTGTAAAACCTCGTGCTTTTTTGGTGTTATACATACTCCAAGCAAAATTGGAGTTTCACTTTGGTAATCCCTACTATGATTTCCTACAAAATCATTTCATATATTGGGTCTTTAATCACTGCCCTTAACCGTTAACAAATTTGGTTATGAAGATTTCAAATTATTGTTCAATGAACTTTAACCTCCTTATTTGCTACCCAATACTAATATTTTTGCAATAAATTTCTTAGGAAAAACTACTCTTTTGACCCCTTTTGTTAAATTCTTTATTCAATTTGGTCCCTTATAGGCTCTTTTGTACCAAATCAGTTCTTTATGTTTACAAACGTTATCGTATGCCTAAAACATCACTCTTCATTCCATGCCATTATTACTGACATGCACATGTATCCGTTAACTCTTATTTGGACTGATTACGTGGATGCCTGGATGGTGAGATGTATTTGTACCTGATTGCTTTTTACGTTTTCGTTTTCAATGTGAACTTCTTTCTGAATATGGTTTTGTCTTGACCTCACCTAATCTCACGTACACAACACTAACTTGGTTTATCCTCTCAAGCAAACAGATTCAAGGTGATGATATTCTCAGATAGTGATAGCCTCCTTCCTAGGATATACTTACCATATGGGTGGCTTACTTGGATCTGGGCGTTGGGCCCAATAATTGATCCCCAATTGAACCATTTACATCTCTCAACCCAAATTTTCTATCAGATAGACACAGATAGTACACGCATTTTCTCCACACACAACACAAGACTCTTTCTCTCATGTATGCACACACACATGGCAGGACCATATTCTTTTCCTCACTTAGTGGGTCCTAACAAAAACACTTAGTTCACCTCCATTCCAGATTGACCAAGACCATCATGCAAGGCTTCCGGGATTGTTTTAGTTACAGCATTTCTCATAGAAAATATGTGGCACCATTTGTTTATGAGCCACTATGACCGATCATGCTTAAGTCTTGCGACCAATTCACTCGTGGCAGTCATCTTCATTTGCTCCAACCTGTCATGAACATCTAAAACCAGCATCACAAAACCAACTCACAAAACACCATTAGAGCTCCATTGCGAATGGCCTCATCAAATTTTATATGGGATCTTTATTTGAATAAGTGTGCATACAACTTACGGGGAGATGAAAAACCGTTGACTACTTCAGCAAAGATGATGATAGACAGGAGAACCCTGTGGCAGATGAAGGATTTTCTCAACATTGATGCGTTCAAATTCAATACTAAATCTGATGGTTCCTGTGTGTTGAATTGAATCATAGTTGCAAGACTAAGAAACGAATGGAGTCAGAAAGAATTAGGATTGTGGTAGTGGAAGCATAAACCATAACATTGAGCTGGGTCATATCATTCTCATGTTATTGCTAGCCAACTCCCTCAGTCAAAGCCATTGAAGCTACCAAAGCTCCCTTTTAAAACAGCCATCCCTTATCACCTTCCCATCACCTGAACATACTCCATCCCAAAGCATTGTCCTACCCCCATGAATGCTGGTGTTCTTCCTCCTAACCCAATTTGTCACTGTTCCTACTCAATGCAACAACCAAGCTCTCACATAAGCGCCATTGCAAGCCACCAACATAACCAACATTCTAAAGATAGGAGAGTGTCTGGATGTTCTTGTTGGCTACATACACACTGGTATTGGCATTTGGCAGCAGTGCTATAGATTTGCTTTCTGGTGCCTTCAAGGCCTCCTGGACTTGGATGCTGCTGTGTGCCTCTATAGGACCAAGCTTCTTAGCATCAACACCGAAACCACATAATCAGTCTAATTAGAGTTAACGGACATTTGGGCACATTAGTAACAGCATTGGATGGAAAGTGATGTTTTGGTAAACATCTCTTTCTTAACATCTGTGAACATAAGGACTAATTTGGTAAAAATAACATAATGGACCAAATCGAATTATGAAATTAACATAAGGGACCAAGAGAGTAATTTTCCCTTTTTTATTAATTGGGAGTGAGAGATATAGTTGGTTGTTTAAAAATAATCTTGTTATGATGTCTTTCTCGTCATTTATTTGTTCAATCATTACTATTAGGGACTTTGGGTGAGTCCTAGCACAATGGTAAGGTTTTTGGCATGTGACCTCTTAGGTTCAAATCATGGAAATAACCTATAGTGGTAGGGGTAATGCTGTGTACATCTACCTTCTCCACATTAGATCGGAAATTCGTGCACCATGTCACCTAAATTTATTTAGGATTTATATTTTGAAAGTGATTGGTCTTTTTTTAAGCGCACTTTTATGGTAATTATGTCATAGTACTTTTTTTCTGATTGCAGGCTTATGCAAGTTTATTTATTTTGAAATGGTTTATGCTAACAAGTGCAAGGACGCTTGTTAAAAAAATAGAAAATATATGTTGATGAAATTCACAACAATTAATACAATAAAGTACTTTCAATTTTAGATATTTAACAAGTGTCCTTGTAGCACCGTTAGCATTTGCCTTCCAAAATTTTTTCTTCTTGCCCAAGACGGATATGACGTTGGACTTCTTGTGATGGAGTCAGGACTTTTTTGGAGAAGACTCGTAATTGATTGTTTGTAATGCTATTCAATGATTTTACTTTTCAAAGATATTCATTTATCTACAAAGTAAGTAGACGTAGAGAAGGCTAAATTTGCACAAAGTGATTGGACGGGTGTTATCAAGAATACGATACACCTGAATTTGTTGATATGTATGATATTGTAGTTTTGAGATTTGACATGTTATAGGTAATATATGGTGTTCATGAATGAATGACTTATATTTTGAGGACATTTGCTTTCTAAAATAACCTGGGCAAGACGGATGAGGAGGATCTGTATTTCATAACTGGTTATTTTGTTGTAGTAACGTTTCTTTTTTCTTTTTACTTGGATCAGTGTTTTAGTTTCTTGAGATCTTGGTGCATCCATAATACGGTCAAATCCGTTTCATTTTTGAATTTGAAGTAAAGCAAAGGACATTTGACTTTTTTATTTTATTTTATAACATTTAACTTTTTCTTATATACTTAAATGTCCTATCAACAGTTACACTGTACAACTTTACGTATAAATAATTCTGACTCCGGGGGCTTTGATTTGGTGTAGATTAAAAGACACGGGACAAGTTCAGCGATGAGCTTTGCCCTTTATGTCTCTTTATTGTGCGTGTTTGGTAATGAGTCTGAAATCCACGTTTTCTTCTATTTTCACGTTATAACGCAGCAAAAGCAACTAATAGTTGCTTCTCAAAATCACGTCAAAATCACGTCTAAGTTTTCAAACGTAAAAGCAAACAGGCTAATTATCAATCTTAACTTGCTGAGGATGAACATTTACATATTGTGAAGAGAAATTAATAATTGGACGGGACAAAAAGGTAGATTATTTTATTGGCAACCTGCTACCCATATTAGGTATTTGGTAGATATAAGACACTCGTAGTCATTGTTGTCTGATAGATACCGTAAATTAGTATAATCCAGTATTTTTCTAGACTCGTCTTAATGAGCAGCAGCAATGATGCACACGCTACAATTAATTTCGGCCAACTTGTATTTCAATTACAAATATTAACAGTATCAAAATTACAGCATCCCTCGTCAAAGAAAGCGAAAATGCTGCTTTTTCCATCGCATTTGTAAGCTCGCAATTCTCGTTCGAAATAATACTTTATCCTTCTAATTGTGACTAGTAAACTGCTCTCCTGCAAAATTAGTGAACAAAATAGAATGAATAGAATCTCAATCCTCTAAAATGAGAATCTGTTTTAGAAAATAAAATGTTAATTTTAATTTTAATTATAAATTAATTCAAACTTTTTATAATACCACACATGAATTACATATAATAAAATTATTACAATTCTAATAATTTTTCAAAAGACAAGTATCACTTTGCTATATAAAAATCAAATCTAAACAGAATATTTTGGGCTATTACCAGCTTAACTTTGTACTTATACAGAAATAATTGTACGATGGAACCACTTCGATACCTTCACTTTCATAGTTCACACTTAAATTTCAATAGAAACACTACAAAAATCAGTAACAAACTCAATAATAACTGAATCGACAATCATTGAATAGTAATGCCAAAAATATTCATGTCACAATAATGAAAGACACTCCATTTGCTTATTTAGTTTGAGTCAATACCATGCATATATAGATATGGCATGTATGTAATTTAATAATTTGATAAATGCAAAATAAAAAAAGGTATCGAACTAGGAGTAGGCTACTAAGTAGCACCTGCAAATCAGTTAATACCATAACTAAGCAAAACGACAGTCAAAAGTTCTCGCGGTTAATACGCCAAAGAATAGACGTCAAATTAAATCAAGCGCGTAAACCATCTGTCATCCCAGCCCCAGCGAGCTTCCTGAGGAGATGAGATTCAGCCCCAAAGGTGAGTAATGTCAGTGAAAAGTCCATCACAAAGTCCTATGAGATCAGATGCTAATAACTTAGCTTGAGAAAAATGTATGATCCACCGTTAACATATCGGGGTCATCTTCCTGTCTTGGCTCGTTTCATTCCAGTATTGTTAAAAGGTGACATGCTTGGACTCATACTTGGGCTCATGCTTGGACTTTCCTCTCTCAAAGTACCATTGAGCATAGCCAATTCCCTCAATTGTTGCTTCTTATAGTGATCGAGGGATTCATCCTGGTAGGTTAAAAAAAGGGATTAGCAGGACTACTCAATTAAAAGAAGACACAATTAATGCAATAACTATAGTAACAATATATCATACCACGGGCTTCAAAAGATTTTCGAGTATTGCCACTGCATGATCCAAGCGAGAATTGATTATATCCTCTGGAAACTCTGCCTCCACCAAAACATGCAATGGTTCTTTAAGGTGCTCATATCCGGGTTTATCTTTAAGCTTTTCTTCCTATAAGGAAAATTGAAAAACATCATAAGAAATAACATGCCTCATGAGTCTATTAGAACTCCAAGAGATAGTTAGAAATTGCATACGTTTGAGGAAGAAAGTTGAATACAAAATGCCAAGGTGAAGTAACAACCACTAGAGATGGTCAAGGACCGGTTGAATTTATTTAGAAAGTGTTAAGAAAAATAATGTTTCCACATCAGTTCGTTCTATCTGTGGGGAAAATTTTTCCTACACCTATAGGAAATAATGGGGGAATTAAAAGGTATACTTACATACCAACTTTACCTTAATAGAATCCTTCACAGAGCCACAGCCTCTGATGTAAACCCTACATTCAGTCATGGCTTCCACTCTTTTCAATGAGTTCCCACGAGGTCCCAGAATTCGGCCAACAAAATTATACTGCTGAGATTTGAATAAAAAAACTATTACATTGGAAATAAAAGAGGATATAAACTGGAGTAAATGAACAAGGTTTTGACTTACATTTGGATATTTGTCTACAGGGACATCAAGCCTGATAACTCTCTTCACTATAGGAGTAGTTGGAACTCCTTGTGTCCCGGGCCAACCCATTGGTGGTGCTTGATATGATGCCATCCTTTGGAGGTTTCCTTTGTCCTGCATCGAGAATTTGGGATCATTTAGAACTCCCCTTTTATAACCACAAGTTGTGAAGACAACCCAAACTTCTTGCCACCAAGTTTCCTCACAATTCAAAAGAATTTTTTCACATAAATTGCCCATTTATGAGCAATTTAGTTTTTCAAAATATGTATTATGCTAAAGCATCTATAATTCTAACATTCCAAGGAGCCAAAATCTAGCAACAAACAGCTACCAGGAATTCACCCTAATATTGTTGAAGAGCTGGTGGGTCAGTCCAAGACACATTAAGGTATATAACAACATTTGCCTCTAAGACAGGTTATGTTCTATAGGATTAAGGGGGAAAAAAAAAACTTGGGATTAATAATAATTGAGGTAAGGTGAAAAGGCAAAAACTAAGATTAAGGATTCTAACAAAGTCAATCAGAGTGTTGAATTCCTAGTTCTTCTACATGTGATGCACCAAACTTCCATTAAACTGGACACATTTTCAGTGATGAAATATTCTCAAAAACAAGTAAAACTTGTACATTCCAATGAATGAAAAATGATTCTCTTTCAGACTCTTTGAAGACTTGCATCACTCTGTAACATTCCTTTAAAATGAAAAGACACAATTTAGGGGAAAAAAGTTAACTAATGGATTTTTTTTTGAAGTTCTTTTGAATCCCTACTTTGTTTTGCCATGTAATGAGTGTTAACACATAAAAGTTCTTGCAATGCAACTGTAAAGCAATATCATATTGGCAAAGCAGGAATAGATCGG